TTTAATTTAACAGGTAAGATGTTGAAATATAGATGAATTTTCTGTTAAGTTGGAAAACGTTTGTTAGACAACCTATTAGAAGAGAGGCTGCCATCACTGTCAAAGTTTACAGCACTGATGTATTTTCCAGCATTTCTGTTGCTAAATAGGCTGTGGTGTGTGATATTTGTTGTGTTCTCTGCTGCCAATGCCATACCATTTTAAGTGTATATACCATACATTTTGCATGATGTTGCCTTTGTTAAGTTTAGATCATTTAGTCAGTAGCTTTAAGGAAACGATCTTATATTTTAGAAGTTTGGACTCTCAGCTCTCATCAACATAAATAGAACAATTTTACAAATGTCATCATAATATGTTAATAGAAATAGATCCTTAATTATCAGTCAAGGGACACAGAAAGATCTTGTTGTAAATCTTGTTATACTTGGCCCTGATTGATTGACACAAATGCTTCAACAACTAAATATAAATGTAACTGAGTATAAAATACAACAAAATGCTTCTATATAATGAATATGACGATAATTTGTCAAGAAAACAGAGTATGATCATGTAGTGTACTTGAACAAAACAAGATGAAATGTGATTAAAAATATCACTAATCACGAATACACAAACACATTTCCCCACAGTGAGTTCGCATTTACTGGAAGCATTGCATTTTGGGAGGTAATGTCTGGGTGTAATGTACAGGGCATCAGGACGACCCATTAGCAAAAGAGCTTTGTTTGAAATGTGATCGGCTACAGTCTGTCATGAGTCAATCAGCATCCTCTGGGGACATTTCTTCACCCTCTTCACACCCCTCACCCTCCTCACCCCTCACCCCTCTGTCCCAAACACACCTATGACGGGATGCTCTGTCATCACCTGTTTATGGGGCACCTAGCAACACAAATAGTGGACACACAAGATGACCAATGATTGAGACTTTGAATCTTCTAATTTCAAATGATATTTTTACAAACAGAGATTAAATAATAGGAAAAGGTTGACCTTTTGATAGAGAATATTTCCAAATAATGTGTATTTTTATCATGGCCCCAAATGTATTACTATGGTGACATTTTAATTTAGTAATATCACTGTCATCTACTATATAAGTAATAAAAAATAAGTGGTTGAAGCTCTACTAAACATAGAGAAATAGACTGAATGTTGTGACATTTTGTTTTAGCCATAAAGTCACCTCAAAATGATCCTTATGGAGAGAGATGAAGTTCGATGGGACAGATGCTGCCTCACCAAAATGTCATCACTGCTCTAACACAATATGACCAGTAAGTTTCATTTTAGTTTTGACCTGTTGTTATATAACTCAATCATGTGATTTTATGCAGTATATTAGTATTTTTGTCTAATTGTTGTTATAGGTGCCTTGCTGATGCTCTTATTGTTGATCAAACCCCAAAGTGTATCCTCTTTCCCATCATGCCCTGCTTCATGTGTGGTCTGTTCTGAGGAGGCTATCATCTGCCAAAGACTCACTTCAATTATTGGTAACTTTATTTTACACTCTATATAAACATCATTTGCACTTTGTCTTTACTTTAGTTTACTTTAGTTCACTTTTTCTAAGAAATATTCAAACACAAAATCCACCTGCAAGTCCACATATTTGCTATATTTATTTCAGTGCATTGCCTCTTTTTCCAAGTCACTTTAACCTATGAAAGATATTCATTTGTAGCCATGTAATAATATTGTCTTGGGTAAGGATGTTGGTTTATGTTTGATTTTGGTATTCAAGGAGATTTTATGTAAAATGTGAATATATATATTATTTTAACTAGTGGGATGTGTTCTCATATTTAAAATAAGTATATCTTTGCATCTCCATGCAGCCGCTCCGCAGACAACTCAGGCTTTGCTGCTGACTGAGGGCTCCATCTCCACAATTCAACCGGGAGCTCTATCGGACCTCAGTAACGTCACTGTCATCAGTCAGTACCATGACCTGCATGTGTATTTATGATGCAATGGCATTGGTATTGCAATTGCAGAAAAATATATAATTTACAGATAAAATGTATAAATATTACCTTATTATAGGTTTTTCCTTATTCATCGTTTATAAAGAATGTTTCACAGTCCTAGGACAGAATAAATTCATACTAAACTAAGTCAATTCTTATCTATCATTTAAATACATTCTCCATTGTCCAGGTTTAAGCCACAACCGTATCTCTGCTTTGGATCTAAACTCCTTCAGAAACATGCCTCTTCTCCAGACTTTACTATTGGACCACAACCTTCTGACCCTCCAGGCTTTAGAAGGGGGAGCTCTGACTAATCTGACCCAGCTAGAGGTCCTTGCACTGGGTAACAACCACATCAACACGGTGGGCTTCTTGGTTGCAGATTTTGCCTTTTACTGACTCTATTTACAAATATTGATTGTTTTTTTGTTTTTGGTCAATTTAGATCAACGCTGACTTGTTCAAAGGCACAAGAGCTCTACGGATTTTGAAAATGGAGGGAAACCAGATAACACGATTGGATTCTGGTTCTTTTCCACTGATGGGTCTTCGTTTTTTGGAAAGTCTGGATCTGTCTGATAATTTTATTGATTATCTCGACAAAAACAGGTTCATATATATACATACACACTATTTTGTATACTTTCTCATACTACGGTTATTAAAACTAGATGCTCATTTGAAAAAGCTCAAATGGTGAAAAACAAAATCACACAAATAAACCAAAATATGACCTTCTCTGAATAGGATTATCAGAAGTGTTGAAAATCTGTTTCTAATTGATATTAAAACTAGCCGCAACACTAGACACACATTTGAGCAGTTTTCAATACCAAAAAAAGTCACATTGACAGGACAGAAATGAACTTTTCCTGAATACGAAGCTGAGGTGTAACAAGACAAGTATAAAACCATGTAGACTATATCCCCAAGGAACATTATGGAACCTACCTGGACGACTGAGAGATTACACATATATAAGGTCACAGGATAATATAAAAGTACTATTATTTAATATTGGAAACTACATTCTATTCTATCAATGTTCACAGTTTCTTGTCCCATCTTGATCTATCTTATCATCATTGTGGTATTGCAACGGGTATTCAGTGTCAAGTCTATTTTTTTCTATCAAAAATGAGATTGAAACTTTAGTATCATGACCACACTACTCCTGAATAGTAGTTTTACAATTATCTTGACCTATATCAGCACTCATTTAAGATCACATAATAGTCAATAATGACTCTTATTTTGTGGTGATATTTATGTTTATTTATTATCATTATGATATAAAATTATTACATAAAAATTAGTTTCAAATAAAAACTCTGTTTCTTAGTTTTGAAATGGAAAATATAGTATTGTGAAATTACCATTATAGGGCCAACTGAGTCTAAATATTTAATAAATATTAGTATAGTTTAAACCAGAAATATAGTTTAAATACAAAATTCTTAATGAAATCCAAAGTCAATATACCTGGCCTAGAGAAATGGGTACAGGTCATGGATGTAGGAAAATCATAAAAATTCCATGGAAAATTCTGCTTTTGAATGATTAATATTGCCTTGTGTTTCCAGTTTCCGTGGTTTGATTTCTCTAACAACATTGGACTTATCGAGGAACCGTCTCCAGAGCGCTCCCTATGAGGCGTTCTCATACCTGACGTGGTTGAACACTCTGAATTTAGACCTGAACTTGTGGAACTGCTCCTGTCAGCTGCTGGAGCTGGCTACTTTCCTCTCCTCGTTCATACAGGAGCCAGATAAGGTGAAAGGACACTTCAATGCCCCCTGCCATTTTATTAAGTAATTACTACATTATTCACAATAATCAAAGAATAAAAATAGCCCCACAGTTTACATTGTGGCTATCTTAAGCTCATATAAATAACAGCCACATTGTGCAACTGCATTTTATTTTTAACAAACAAACAATGTATACAAAGTACACATGACAAAATTAGTCAAAATAAAAATAATCAAGACATGGAAGTAGAATGTTCTTTCCTATTGAGAAGAGATTACAATTTGATATTTTATTTATACCACATGCACATATTTATTAGGGATGTGCTGATCTAATACTAGTTTTATATATCAGCTTCAAAACCAATACTATAAAATATGCAGATCAGTTCTCAGCTTTCAAACATCAGTTCAGCCGATATCCTGATTAGGCATATTAACTCTTAATTCAAACTTAATAAGTTTGAAATAAGAAAGTCTCAGAATGTTTATTGAATTTTTACTTGCACAAAGCTGTTCTGTAGTTACTTCAGGGATAAATAACAACTGCATAACATATTTGAATCAGTTTTGTCTTATTTAATTTTTGTTTATAGAAAATAAATGCTGTTTTTCGTCTCTGCACTAGTATTGGTTGATATCGGCTATCAGCAAATGCTTAAAGCTATAGTATTGAAATTATCATTGAAACTAAAAAAGCTGGATCAGGCCATCCTTAATATTTGTATACATAAAATCTATGAAAGCCAAACTTGAAACACCGGTGCTTTGTGTCCTTTAGACTTTGTATAACGGGCGTAGGATGGTGTGTGTCAGTGCTGATAATCCTGCAGTGACCACAGTTTTGGAGCTCACGGAGGCCAACTGTGTCCCATCCAATCAGAACATCACAGTGAGAGTAGACACCAGGGGCAGCATCACCCCTCAGCTCTACGTCCGGGATCTCGCCATCACTGGAGCAGTCTGCTTCGCTGGTAACACTAGACATTTATTTAATTTTGCAGACAATTTCATGTCAGTCCATCACCAATGCAGTCAATAATGTTTTTTTATTACACCTCACACATGACAAAGCGTCTAAAATCAAAAATACTACTTGTTTTTCAGGTGGTGTCGGTTTGACTTTGCTGATAGTCTTGATCTACTTTAAAATTTCCAAGAAGAAGAAGATACGAGAACAAAAAGACCAAGAAGAAGTCAAAGAAGAAGCAGGAAGCACAGTGTCCAACCACAATAGAAACCATATTGATCTGTCTGTAAAACGAAAGGACTTTATTAATGGGAATGACACAATGGACGCTCCTGTTGGACCTAGAACAGAAGGTAATGGTGCTCAGTTTCGCTGTCCTGAATGCAGAGGAGATGAACATGGCCAAAATCCTGTCAGATGGGAAAGAATGAATGGAAGAGTGGAAACTTTGGATGACAGAGAGAGACAAAGGATAAGAGTAGAAGAAGATAGGAGAAGGACTGGCCCGCAGCAAAGAATCATGGGAAGGGAAGCAATGAACAGGCATTTAGTTGGTAATAACATTGACATTGAAGAACAGAACAGACAGGATTTGCTACATTGTGGGAGCTGCCATAGGACATACAGGCCAAATCAAATGGACCATAACGTAAGACAAACAAGATTCCCTCCAAGAAGTACTTCAGTTATGTACGGCTTCCAACAACAAAGACCTGGTGACTGGGGAAGGAACAACTTTGATTTTGACTTGAGAAATTTGAAAAGAGAAACTCGCAATGTTACTTTTGCTTTGGACAGTCCAAGAAGAGGTCAAGGAGATGACGGAGAAAGCGAGGAAAACACATCTCCGAGACAGAAGGACGGACAGCAAGACAGGAGGAGCAAACTTCAAGCCAACAGGCCAATTAAGGTTAAACTCAATTTGAACCCTCTACGAAAAAGTAAAGTTCATCCAAAAAAGAAAGAGGATGAGAAAGGAAGTCCTAGAAAAAGTAAAGGCAAAAGTAACGACAAGGATCGTCGAAAGAAGTCCAAAAAGTCTAAAGATGAGAAGAAAGAAAAAAAGCCCAGTGAACAAAATACAGGACAAGAAATTGTAGCTCAAATTATCCCTCCAAATCCGATGGCACATATGCAAGGTTTCTTAGGGGCTCAGTTCCGGGGAGGGGGTATGCTTTTGGGGAATCGTACAACCAACCTACTTGGTTCATCAGGACCTCAGTTACCTACCAGTAGTCTACCATTCCAAGCAGGTAATTTAATGGCGCAAGGGAAGCCAATGTTTCCAACAAGTGCTGTGGGCTCGAATTTAAATTTGAGCGGACCTAGTATGGGTCCTAGTGGTACCCCTACAATGGCACTCATGAATAGCCCGAATCTATCTTTAGCTGATGCCATACAGCTAAATCAACCTAATCTTAGTACTGGATCTTTACAAGCTTCACCAGCTACTCTACAGGCAAACATCACACAAGCTAGCACCACTACTTTACAGGCTAGTGCTAACACATTTCCATCTAATGTTGTAGCTCTACAACCAAATACAGTTGTGCAGTTTCGTAGCAGTAGTAGTAGTAGCACAAAACAAACCAGCTCTACCACTCTGCCTGCTAATGCAACATCTCAAACTAGCAGTACTGCAAAACAAACTAGTCCTACTACTTTGTCAGCCAATTCTTCTTCGCAAAATCTTCAAGCCCTTGCTACATTAGCGCCTCCTTCTTCCTCAACCCCTTCAGAAGCCCAGTCCGGTTCAAAGTCATCACCGAAAAGTTCACCAAGAGGAAAACCCAAGAGTGTCCAAGAACCAGTGCCACAAAGCAACAATAAAACAAATACAGGAACATCAGAAACACCATCATCGCCACGTAAAGGAAGTCAAGTATCAAACATTACTGACAGTTCTCAAAATGTGGTACTCCAAAATACACCCACTGCAACAATTGTTAAAAATATGTCAAATGCAAGCTTGGCAGAGTCAGTACATGGAGAAGCGATGGGCATTGTAACTCAAGAAGAGCTACATACAGGGGGAATAATGGCTATAGGTGGCACACAAGGAGCAGATGTGTCCATATCAAATGACCACCATCCCACTGAGTCTATGGACAACATTGTATCCACAACACTCATCCAACAAGAATACCTGTCTGAAGATGAAGGCACTTCACCAAAAAGGAAACTAAGACTGGTGATCCCAGAGAAAGCAACTAACAGACCTCTAACTGCACTGGAAAGGAAAATACGATGATGTTTTAATTGTTTTTCCATCAACAATCAATCATTATTAATCATTATTTCACTGTAGTGTGATGTTCGGGGGAAGTGACACATGGTTAAATCTAAAATAATGTAACTCTATGTTAATAAGAACTACCTCTGAACCATGCTATTATCTGGATTGACAGACACAAACTGAAACAGGGAATTGGGACACTGCATTAAAGCTGATACATATTGTGATTGGTTAACAGATATAATACAATTAGAAAGTGTCATTTTTACTGAAATGTTAACAAAATATTTTTCCATACAACTTCCTGTTATAGGTTTCCAATTGAGAGCATTTCACTACATATTATATTTTGGCAACGGTCGCCATTTTTCATCTTTCTAAAACTCATGGATATTGGCACAACAAACAAAAATACACAGCAGGATTTAGTTACTGTATGATGTTCAATGTTCATGTTCACAGTGTAACCTATATTTTAAAATACAAATGTAATTATAGTACAGTAATACATAATATTTTCATTGTTCCAGGTATGACTTTGAGCAGTAATGAACCTAAACAGACAGTGACTTTGACCTGCTCACTGAGCTGTTGTATTGAGTTTCTGTCTTGGCATCGGGATGGATATTCGCAGTGTGTTGGGTTACAGCTGTCTCCCTCTAAATGCATCTACTGTGGGTTCGACTTACACTTAACAAACCTTTATTGAACGACTTTATTCACTGATTGCACAGGACTTGTCAATACTGTGTTACAAATCATGTGCATTTTCATAATATGTTGCAGAAATCAATTAAGTATGGATAAAATGCATGTTTGATCTTGTAAAAATCATTTTCACCTTGTATATACGTGGTACTTTTTACATGTATGTATTTATTTATAGTTTTGTGTATTGTTGTCTATTTTTCTATGGCTGTAAAGTTCATTTATACCATGTTTTTCAAAACAGATTAAACTGTAATGTCACTGAAATATCTTTTCATTATGTTTCAGACGAGCTGCACATAAAACCTACTGCACACGTCCATTCCTGATAGCAGGGTTGAATCTCAGCACTAATTATTTTACCTCTAGGGGGCAGTATTGCTCTGTAGCCCCTTTATTTGGTACAGATTCCATATTGGTGGTATCTCTGATATGTACAAACTCAAACTGCAGGATTTCTTGGAACCATTAGGGGGCAGTGTGTATCCGAAGAGTAGCTACCAATTATATTAAATGGAAAAATGCAATTACAGTCCAACATATGTATGATTTATTGCACTCAGACCTCTGTGAAACTGCATCGGCTTATTTCACATCCATTATGTCAATTTGTGATACACTTCAATTATAGGTAGGATGTTTTTCTTTGTCTGTAGAAATGACCAAATCTGCACTGTGTCTATTGTATAAGATGATTAATTTAAAACCATTGACTACTTTTTTAACTTGAACAAAGGCACAGTGTTTTGTAAAGAAACTGGCTCATTAAATAAGACTGGGTTAGACAATATACAAACAACAGCCATTTTGAAAAGACCTCGGCCACACCACCAACAAGTTGTTTTTGTTTCCCTGTGTGTGACCTCAGGCATTTCTGTGAGATGCAAATGCACTTTCACACAACTCCTCTTTTTTAACCAATACACATTAAATTAAAATGGAAATTACTTGTTAGTGTATTAGACTCGTACTTACTTGTATTTGATTACTTTACATTCTTCAAAATAGACCACCCTCTTTCATTTAAAAATACTCATATGTTTTAAGTGGCATTTAAGAGTGCAATAGTCAGAAAGTGAGGCCAGTATTGTGCATCTCTGCAATAACTACATGTACACCAAAAATCTCATCATTAGCTGATTTCTGGAGTTATCAGATAATTGAAATGCCATGTAAATCTAAAAATGCTCACATATGATGCAGGTAATCTGGTTTCTTTCTGATTGTTCATACTTATGCAGGTTTTGACAGGAAAATTATACAAAAAAGGGCAAACTAAGAGAAAGTGACGGAAAGAGTTATTTTTAAAATAAAATTGTGCTTTACAGATTTCTTCTCTGCATATATCTGATCTAAACATTCTCCTTATCTGATTTTTACTGGCCATGTAAATTTACCCAGTGAAAATGTTAGATATTTATTTCATAGCTTCGCACTATTATCAGTAATTGTCTATTAAAGCTAATTGTCAATTAGTTTTAGCAATACTTTTGAGAATAGACCTGGACAGTGGTAACCTCAGTGCTGTTGATAAGAACCTTGTTTTCCTCAACCTTACTAAACTTTGCCCAGGTAAACTTTTGATTGACATTTGACACTATTAGATACGGAGCAGCCAATAGAAAATAGCAATTAAAGGAAGCGTATTTTTATTGGCAATTTAGGACTAGTTATAAAAATATAAACTACTATAATGGGGTTTGCATGTTATGAAATTGTTGTTAGTTGCACACTTTATATATTATACAAATAACATAACAATAGCGGTGGAGAAGCCCAATACTGAAGCACATATAAGTTAGTTTCTGCTTGTTAGAAGAAACCAAGAACCAAGCTGGTAGGTACATTGTGCAAGATAGTGAATTATGTATGTGATAGAAAAAACATGATGGCACATTCACTTCCAACATTATTGTCAGGGAAATATTCTTCTATTAGACTGGCAGGTGGGTCTGGCGTTACGTCTGTGATAGGAAAACTACAGTAGACCATGTTTTTACAGGGTTAGAAATGAAAAGTTTTGAATATTGTCCAAAGTAAATTAAGTATTGTGCTTGTCAGGGCAGGAGGATGCTAAAGTTGGATGTACCAGAAAGGAAACATACACAAAGATTTATGAATGTAGTGAAACTTGGCATAAGGTATTGCTATGAGAGAAGAGAGGATGTATTTTTAGGGCTTTCATAAAGTAAAAAGTGAATTCAATACTCTTATTGACAATATAATAATAACTTTGGATGTATTTGGTGTAATGTTTTCACCCATCATAATAAGCCCTGATCTACAGTGTAGACCTGAATGCACAAATTAAAAGTATTCCTCCCTTTTGTTTCCAACTTGTTTTCACTAAAATGGGATCTCGTAGTTCATTGTGTCACTGCTGTGTTAAAGGTGAGCCGTACATGAGCTTGGAAATAAACCAAAATATGCAAAATAAATATATAAATAAAAATCAAAGAGGCAGGCTTTGGAGTAAATGACTGCACATCAATGCAGCACTGACTTTATTCTCAAACACATTATTATTAGATTCTAAAAATAAGAAAATCTTCATGGTTGTTGTTAAACCCAGAGTCCTTTCATCTGCCTCAAAAACACATTAATACAAAGAGATACAGAGCCAGAGAGTTAGACGTCTCTCATCATTATTATGGTTAACACTAAAACAAAAACGTGATTAAAAACATTAAAATTACAGCCAACCCAGCAACAGTTATAGTTTCTTAAATAGTCTCTTTGCACAGAAGAGAAAAGAGATGACAAAAGCAGCCCATGCATTCAGTCTCTCATTAACACTTCACACACTCGCCACATTTGGATCAGAATCAATATCGACATATGCCAGGAGGAGGAGCTGTCATGGTACAAAGCTGTTTTTTCTGCAAAAGAAAATAATAGTTTGATATTTTATTGTTTCAAGGACTAAAATACAGTGGGTTTGTGAACAGTGCGAGTTGTTTTAATGAGAGATTATTCACAGTCAGTGCCTGGTTAGAAGGAAAACAGCTTGAGGTGCAGTTCAACCCCTTGTCTGATACGACAACCAGCCAAAACAATATGACATGTCATTGAAATGAGAAGTCACACCAGTCTTTTCTTTGTGGTGGTCCCAAGTTATAAAGGAGTAAGAGTGGAGGTTGTGTCACAGTTGGGCATCTGACTTTGTAATTGTCAAAATGTTTTGGTTGGTCACTGTATTATTCTTTATTTTGTTATTTCTCCTCAAAATGACAATATGCTCTTTGCGTCTTATGGCAACAAAAATATTTCCATATATTTAAAGAAACAGTAATTTAAACTATTGCTGTAAAATACTACAGCAACAAATTTTCAACAAAGAATTCACTGGCCTCAATCGACAGTTAAAACATTTATGATACAACATTTTACAACTGCTCTTGGGAGCATTTGGGACATATGGTGAAAAACACCATCTCTACATAAAGGTATTTGAAGGGCAGACAGGGAGTTAATAAACAAGAGAATTTCATGGTAAGGGTATAATATTTACAAATAGTTTTAAAGTTTGCCTCATTGGAAAACACCTTAAATGTATGTGGATAGTACAGGTTAAAACATGCAGGAGCTGGTGGAAATTAGAACTATTTTGGTAACTGTGGTGCGTATAAAAAGACTGATCCAAGTTTGTAGGTATAGTAAATCAATGATGTCCCCCATACACAAATCAGGCATCACCTTTACTACTAAGTGCGTCACCTATCGACCACTAAAAACAATGAAAAGCCAATAAGAGCTGCCGTCTTGGAGATGCTCCAACTCAAGGCATCCAACCATCACAATTTTGGCTGTGGTCCTGCTTCTTACACTTGAAGGACAAAATATTCATTTGTTGCCTAATATGTCCACCAAATCTTAGGTTTCATAATTCGTAAATGCCCTGATCTTATGCCAAATCTGTGCTTTTTGGGATACCATTAAATTCATAAAGCATCAGTCTACCCCAGGGCAGCTGAGGCTAGAGGAGTATCTTACCATCACCAAGTATGGACTGAATGTATAATGCAAAGTAAAGCGTTATATAAATCCAATGCATTACTATTTTTACCAAAAAGCTGGTTTAGTCCTGTATGATCTGCATTAACCATTATTAGTTTACAAGTCCCAGTTAAAATCAAGGTGGTCTCTTTTCATTTTGGGATTTGTTGGCAGGTGCTGTGCTCCGTAGGCTGGTCTGGGGTCAGTTTGAGGGTGGAGGTTTTCGTGGTGTGGCAGTAAAAAGGGCTTGGTTGAAGTTTGGCATCACTTTGTTTGATGTGGGATTAACTCAGGAACAGAGGCTTGTCTCTCTGAAGACCCCTGGAGACGCACAGCACATTAGAATATCGTTAGAATGAGTAAACAGACATAGCAGGAGGTAGAAAGTAACCAGATACTAAGTCATTTACTAAAGGTGAACTTCTCAAGTGTAAGTAAGGTGAGTAGTGGTAGTAGAAGTAATAGTAGCAGTAGTAGTACTAGCAGAATTCTGAGTTGAACTGAATTCAATTTAGGACATTGCAGAAGATACCTTAATTTCATACAGGCTAAAGAAATTACCAACACATTTCAATTATATTATACTCCACTCCACACCCCAGGCTTTGTAGCTGGAGTTAATTTTTATGTTTATTCATTATTCAATATTTTACTAGAACAGAAAAGTATACAACTCATTTTAATATTTTCTATCAAAGCAAGCAAGAAGGCAAAACACAAAAGTCTAAACCTCAGCATTAATGTAAAACATGTCTTCTACCCAGGCACATATCTTAATCCTGAATTATCTGAATTATAGCTGTATTCCGGTCACCCACTCGGATCAATATCTCCCTCATTTCTAAAAGCCTAACCTCATCCAGGCTCCATTACCTACCCGTTGCCATGGTAATCGGTGCTCCAGTCGAGGGACGGGTGGTGGCTGGGCGTATGCCGTCCGAGCTGGTGGTAGTCCACTGATGATGACATCACAGGTGCAGTGCTCAGCATCCCTCCTCCCATTGGCTGATAATCAGACTGAAGAGACGGGGGATAGCCCTGAGGAAAAGTAAAATGTTATTAAGTATTTTGCAACAAAGTTTCATGCATGTCTGTCATGTTACACTGCTAGCAAGGGGTGGGTATTATTATGACAAAAATGCACCATATAGATCAATCACAATATTTTTATTTCAACATTCAATACATATTTAATGAAATTTAATCCAAAGTCTGAACACTGCTCCAAACCATGTATTTATGAACTGAGTTTTGGGCTCTCAATTCTCAGT